TCTCTCTGCCTGGCACCCTCCATGGGTCAGTCACGTTGGATTACTTGGCATTTAAATGTTTCCACCTCTCTGGGCAGATGTGCTGCTGGCTTGCTGAGGTCTTGGTGGGCAGCAGGACAGAGGCTGAACCTCTTCCATGTGCCAGGTTGTACAAGGAGGGACGTTTCCACAGGGCACCGGCTCCTGAGCTCCTCTCCCCTTCCCTGACAGAGCATCATCTGCCCTGCCTGGCTCAGAAAATCCCTGCTCTCACAGTGGAAAAATGAAAGGGGGAAAAAATAGACACATCTGGCCCCAAACCATCTCTGGGGCTCTCGGCTTTAGCAAGCTCTGCTGCATATGGACTGATCCATCTGCTGTGCAGCTCCCTGGCCCCTGCTGGGGCTGGGCTGCCCTGAGGCTCGACAGGATGAGCTTGTCTGTACTGCCTGAGCATTTTATCTGCCCGGTGACCTTTACATGTAACGGGCTGTACTGTCTGGATTTCCATCACACAGCCTCCAAAGAGAAGCATGACAATACCTGAGGTACGTCTGTATTGTTAGAGCAGGGTCAGTGAGCTCCCGAGGGGTTTGGTGAAGGCATTTCTTGCCTTCTTTCCTTCCTAATCCACCACTTTCCTGCCAATCTGGTCTGGCTTGGAAGCTGCTGCAGTGGGATCGCAGAGTCCTGACCATATATATGTATTTATAAATATATATATATATATTTTAAAGAAATATAGATATGGCTCGGGATAAAGTCACAGGTTTGCAGGGGACTATGCCTTAGAATATCACAGCTTGGTTCCCGGTTGGAGTGAAGTTCAGTCAGTATTCAGGGAGAAGGCTGGATAGAGCAAGAACTTCCTTCTTGCTGACCTCCAGGAATGGAGAAGTGGCCCTGGGCTCCCTCTTTCCCTCCTCCTATGGCATCCACCCATCCCCATTCTGACACACTGCTCGGATGATACATCCACGCCCCATGGCGCTGCTTCACTTGATGGGATAAATGCTTAGTGACAGCACCAAAGAGCCATCCTGCCCCTCGGAAGCGGGCTGCAGAGCCAGCTGGAGATGGCCGAGGACTGGCACCAATGTCACAGAGACAGCAGGCGAAGAGAAGACCAGGGCTTTCTCTTCTCCCAGTCTGGATACCTATTTCAGAGAGCCACGACCACGGCAGAACCAGTTACTGGCTGGTACTTCAGACTGAGCACAAACACAAATTTTATGTGCAAGGGTTACCCCAGCAGACACCTCCCAACAGCAAAGGCACACGGCTGGACTGCAGATAACTGAACACAGTGGTGATCTGGCTCTAAACACCACAGCTTTGGGCAGGTGACCATGTTCCATCCCCACCGCAGTGAGAAGGTGCCTGGATCTGCAAAGACCATCAGTTTAACGAGATCAATCTGTTTAGCTTAATAAATAGGAGGTGAAGAAATGACTTGAGCACTATCCAAAATATTGAAAGGCGGAAAAGATGTTGGCTAAAAGAGCTGTTGAGCTGGAGAGACAAGGGTACGCAGTCGCAATGAAGGGAAGAGTCCAACTAAAAGCGCTTGTGAGAAGCCCTGCCACTGCAGTAATACAGAAATGGCTCTGACAAATTCACCCTCACTTGTAACTGTACATCAGATTGAGTGTTTGGGTTTTTTCCCTTAACAAATTGAACAGGAATAAATTAAGGGATGTGCTACAGCCTGTATTTTGCCGTGGGTTAGATCGATGATCCAAATGTTCTTTGCTGGCTTTGCAGTCAATGAATCACTAAATTTGGATCCACATCCTCACCAGATGGATCAGAACCAGAAACCGAGGTACTGCTGCCCCCAGGGTTTAATGGAGTTTATATCTGGTTCTGAAGCAGACCTGTGATTTTTACTGAAAGTTTTATATCTGCTTTCCCCCTCAAAGGCCAATTGCAAGGTTCAAATAACTTTCTAAGCATCTCAGTTTTCATTAAATCCTCGCGATTTTTCAAGGTAAAGCTTGAATGGTTCTAAAAGTTTCAACACTGGCAGATAAATAAAATGAACCTTAAAACTGAGGGGTTTCCTGAATAATCATTTTCTCAATTTGGCCAGGGGGTGTGGACTTTCTCCCTGACTCTTGCACAGCCAGGGCTGGTGATGCTGAGACAGACTTCCTGAAAGCATATTCTGGCAGAGGGATTTTTACAGTGGGCACAGATATCTGGCTTCTTCCATCTTTTCAGTAACAGGCTCTGAGTGTGTTTCTCTGGCTGTTTGGCATTTGCTGGAAAAGATTACGATGAGAAGGGGAAATCAATAAATTCCATCACAGATGACAAACACGGAGGGAAAACATTGCTCGGGGTTGCTAATCAACATCTGCAGTGGGGATGGATGGAGCATCCCAGGGTCAGACCCCCTCACCCGAAATGCTCCCACATGTGTTGGCAAAGCTCCTGCCGAGAGCTCCTCCTCCATCTGCAGTGGTGCTTTGCCAGGTTCCAGGTCCCACTTCAGCAGTCTCCTGTCTCCTCGCCTTGGAAGCCTGATTGCAAATCCTAAACAAGTGCTCTATGATGGGCTGGCTCCCTGCCCAGAGACTGCATCAGAAATTCTGCTTGATGTATCAAACCCTCAGCAAGCAGGGGGGAGGGAGGAGAGCCAGAGGCGACAAGGAAGGGGTACCATGGACAACCTCAACTTCCCTCCTTCCCTCTTCTCAGGAGAGCAGGGAAGCACCAGGAGGTTCCCTTCCCTTTGACCTGTTCCTCTCCAGGACGGCTTTTCACCACATCCTGATGGATTTGAACCACAGGAAAACAGCAGTGAGAGCGACCAAGGATGCCAGACGCAGCAGTCATGCCATGCCCTTCCTGTGTACACAAGACCCCACTTCTCCTGGGACCTGTCGAGGTTCACCAGCCCCACACTCCCCAGCCAGGCTCTTTCCTCCACCAGCAGGGCAGGTATTACAGCAGCAGCTACTCAGATACTTGGAGCTTCTGACTGCAAACTTAAATATCAGCCCAAAGCCACTCTCACAGCAGAGATCCGCTCTGTGGGGTGACACAAGTCCTGCTGTGCAAGCTCTGACGAGAAACTGAGGGCACCTTGGCCAGTCCCACCAGTCTGTGCCATCTACTCAGAGGAAGCAGTGGAGCTCTTTGGAGGCTGCCAGATCTATGGAACTAGTTCTTCACACCATTTGACTATTTAATTTCATGGCAGGCAGAGAAGAGGGGTGGGTGTAGTGCATCTAGGGAAGGAAGCAAGACTTCAGAAACCCACTAAATTGTTCCCGGACACTACATTTGAGCTCATGAGACCTGGAGATGCAGGCAGTGGTGCAGGGTTCTCCCAGCCACCACTCGATACTCGAAGTTCCAGCACAGCCCCAAGGTGGCTTTGCATTTGGCCTCCTCATATGGCAACAGAAGGGTGAGAAAACCTTCCTTGTTTTTGAGCCAAAGAAGGCATCAGCTCTTTATAAGGATCTCAGATATTCTGGAGTCAAAGAGGTCAGTTTTCAGGCTCCAACACCATCAAAGGCTCTTGGGTCAAGAGACATCTGGAAACTGTGGTGGTTGTTGTTAGTCACCTGCTATTTCATCCTCGTGCCCTTTTAAATGGATCTTCTCTCAGCGAGGGGTTGACCCCGCGCTCCGAGGAGCCCCTGGAAGAACTGCTGACGCTGGCGGGCTCTGCATCACGCTGGTGCTATTCTGGCTCCTTCCCCGCCATGGCCTCCCCCCATTAGATGTCACAGCACGAGGACAGTCTCCTCCAAAGGCAGAGGGGAGAAAAGGCAGCTACCACTGTGCTTTTCAAGACAGTTCTGCGCAATCTTCACCCTCTCTGGAGGACGAACTTGTGAAAAGAAAAACAACCTGAGGCCACGTTGCAGAGCCTGTATCATGTCTCAGTCAGCTCCTGTGGACAGGACGTCCCTTTCCTGTGGTGCCTGTGAAATAAAGTGTCCCTACGTCGCCTCAAAACGCTCCCTGAGAAGAAGTGGTCTAAATATAGTTTTTTAGTTTCTCTTACCAAACAAAAGAGGGATTGTTGGGTTTTTTGGGGAGGGTGAAACACCAGGGCGGATCACAGCCAGATGAGAGGGTAATTAGTCACAAGGAAAAATAGGATAACTGGGCCCTGTGCCAAAGGCAGAAGAGCAAGAAGAGCAAAGTCCTCAGGTAGACATGGCCAGGGCAGGTTGGGGCCAGGATCCAAGGCAAGTCATGCTTAGAGCTCAGCCTGGTCACTGGTGGGACATCAGTCCACACGGATGGGTGGGATGGGCCCTGCTCAGCAGAGAAGCCAAACCCTTTAACACATCCCAACCTTTAGAAACGGGGACACCGACCACCGCGCAAGGAAGAACTAGCAGGAGAGCCAGAGGGATCCCAGCCTGCCTACACGGCCTCTGGGTCAAATTAGCACATGGAAACGGGGACAGCAGCCAGATAGGTACTCAGGGGAAGGAGGATGAAAGAACAAACTGCAGCAGGGAAGGAAACACGACTCCATTACACAGCAGCTGAGACGTGGAGCCAAGGTCTGGTCAAGAAAGTGGTGAGGGGATGGAAGTCTTTTTTTTTTTCCTCAAGAATATCCTCAGGAATTGATCCAAATATCAAAGACTAAAATCTGCATCTTTTCCTCACATACCAAACCACCAACGCAAATGACCACAGACTAAATAAAATACATCATTGCTGGTATCCACCTGCCCATCACAGACACTCCCCCTCAATCTGACTGGATAACCCTGCCCCACACAGGACCAGGGACCTGCCCCTACTCCATGGGTGTCACCAGTTACCAGGATTACTCCATCCCTCTTAGACAACTTCTTGCTACATCCATCACCTACAGTACCTGGCAATGAGAGGGCCAAAAAGTGCAGCATTAACCCTAAAGGTCACTCCTTGCTGCCCGACCACATCGGATTCTGGGAGCAGCCAGAGGAGGAGTCCCAGTGCCACTGTCCCTTGTGACTAGGGCTGGGCTTTCCCAGCAGGGAGGGAGGTTTGCTACTCACCTAGCAGCAGGTTCATGAGGACCTCCTGGCCCGCCAGCGTGCTGCTCTTCACCAGGCAGATGAGCGTACCCGCAATCCAGGGGATCCCGTGCCCCGTTATCCCCAGAAGGTTGATCATGGAGCGGGCACCACCCCAGGAGGAGGCTCTGTTGGCACACACTCCCAGCCTCTTGGACATGCAGATATCGATGGCCAGCAGCGAGTTGAAGGCGATTCCCTTGAAGGAGGGGTTGAGCTGCATGCAATCCTCCTCGGGAAGCTGCTGCGACTGCCTCCGCTCCTTGGGGTTGGTGTTCTGGGCACCGGCTGCCCCGGCCTGGCCGCTCTGCTTTCTTCCCGAGCTCCTGCTCTCCTGGTTCCCCTTCAAGGGCTGATTCAGGGAGAGGAACTCAGCCCTGTTGAGGACATTGTTCCTGTCCCTTGCCCTGGACCGTGGCTGGGATGATGGCATTGCAGTCTCTCTTTAACGCAACCTGCTTTGCGAATAGCGGGAAGGAGAGAAATCCCTCTTCTCCCTGCAGAAAGCTTCCCCCACTCCCACCCTCACAAGCTGTGAATTTGGGAAGCTGCAAAGGTTCCCCTCTGTTGCAGTTGCCCCCAGCACAGACTGCAGCTGTTAAATATAGAGTAAGGAATGCACATGGCTGTTTACTTCATGGGCCTAGCAAGCTTGGAAGGAAAATTAATGCCAGGCTTGGCAGCCACTCCAGTGCCAGGGAAAAAGGTTAAACAGCCAATAGATTGGAAGAAGAGGAGGGAAAAACGTTGTGCCAAAGGTTGGTTGCTTCTGGCCTGGTCTATTTAAATCTTCCAATTGCTTATTCCCCTGGGCTGCAAGGGAAACTGGGAAATGTAGTTTTTTGTGCTGCAATTCACATTTCAATATCAGAGTCAGAGCTGGAGGAGATGACAGCATCCCCCTCCCCACAGCAGCCGGTGTTGCTCCCACGGGGGGCTGTGCTGCCTGGCTTTGCAACACCAAGGCTGAGTGTTGCCTGGGGACCTCCCTCCCGAGGAGCTGTCCCCAGAATCTTCTTGATTAGTCTGTTCTGCAACATCTCCCCCCCCCCCAGGCTAGGGCACCCCAATCACCACCCTCCTCCCCCTAGCACAGATACCTTTCAAGCCCCACTAGCCCCATCCTCCCTTCCCTGCTCGGGGTGAGCCCCTGCAGAGACTTCATCACTCACCCTGTTCCCGGACGAAGGAGAAGCATCACCTGCCTCCTGATTACAGGAGACACAGCGCCGCTAATGAATTCCCATCCTCCTGCCCCCGGCACTGCGCGTGGCCTCGTTACCGCACGTGTCCCTGCCGTGTCACCCAGCACCGAACAGGCTGTGTCGAGAGCAGGTGACAGGCAGTGCCCGTGTCCCTGAGCTGCAGGTGTGATCAGCAGCACAGGTACCAGCCCCAGCAGCACGGGCAGGCAGGACAGGGAGGAGGAAAGCTCATGCCAGGCCCTGAGGAGTCCTCCAGCAGAGGACAGGGAATACCTGCCGTCCCTCCTGCCACGGCATATTGTGCTCCATCACACTGCATGGCTGCTGTCAGCCTCCTGACTCCCTGCTCCCCACCTCAGCTGGGGAGAACCCCTCTGAGACACCAAGGGATGGTCCTTGTGGGTGCCTTCCAACTCAGAATGTTCTGTGATTCTGTGATCTCCCACCTGCCGATCCCAGCACTGATCAGCCCCTGGGAACATCCCATCAGTGCTTGCAGCTCCAGTTTACAGGTCAGAATGATCTTTCTACAGTTCCTGAACTGCAGTTGCATAGATCTAAGCTGGGAGAAGCCACCCAAAGGATGACAGCCCGTGGCAGCACCCACTTGAGCCAGGACCACCCTGGCATCAACTCAGTTACCTTCCCTGGGCAATGGGCTGTCGCAGCTCCACACCACTCACATGCTCCTTGAACAGGATTATTCCTATGCAAACAGGCTGGAAATACCCTATGGATAGAGAATTAGAGCATATGAATATTACATTGAGGAGCAGAACAGCCACGTCTCGTGGTGCCTGCTACATTTGACTACACAAAAGTCCAGTTACAGGGGTCAGTGTTTGTACAGGTAATCCTGGGAACTGGACACCCAGGCATCTCAAAGTCTAGTCCAAAATGCACTTGAGAGCTTAAGTGCTAAAGGAAAGGTGGTTCTTGGCTTCCGAAAATAATAAGAAAAATTTTGCATTTTCTTCACACTTTTTATCCATAGTTCTCAAAATCCTTTCAGTGAACTGTGCACCCAGGCTGTGCCCATCTGCCCAACCCACTGGCCAGAGACAACAGCAATGTTTGGACAAGCAAGTGCTTGAGGTCCTGAGGAGCGCTCACTTCTGGATTTTGTTCATATTTTCCTCTCTCAAAGGAAAATAATATACATCAATTTATTTCTGAATCATACCCTCCAGCAACCTATCCCTAGTCAAGGGAGGTGATGCTGCCCCTCTACTCCACCCTGGTGAGACCTTACCTGGAGCACTGTGTCCAGCTCTGGGGTCTCCAGCATAGGAAAAACACAGACCCGTTGGAATGAGTCCATGAAAGGCCATGGAGATGCTCTGAGGGCTGGAGCCCCTCTGCTATGGAGAGCTTAACCCAAACCCTTCTGTGATTCTATGATCCCAGCCGGAGGAAGAACTCATCCCCTCCTCAGGCACCCCCACCCAGCTGATAAAACACAACCCTGCTCAGCTCAGGTACCACGTGGGGCTGTGGCAGCCCTGGCGCTTGCACAGAAGGTGCCACATCACCAACACCCCCCAGCTCCCGTCCGATCACCGGCTGTGCAGCCACATTCTCACACTATCGGGGCAGTCAGCACCCTGTCCCTATCTGCCTGCCCTCATCCCACTGCCCAGCTCCCAGGCATGTGGAAAATCTCAGTCCACCTGACACCAACCAAGGAGATGTCATCATCACTGCTTTTGCTTGCCTGTAGTCATCACCTTCCTGGATGGCCTCGTGGATTCTCCTGCTCCGTGCAGGGCTGCTGCAGCGTGGGGCTCTGTGCAAACATCAGTGGGCAGAGGGTTAAAGGTGCTGGTGGCCAGGAGGCTGCAGAAATAGGGAGACTCCTGCCCAGTCTGGTGCTGGGGATGCTGAGCTACAACCGAACATGTTCCTCGGGAGCTGTCATGGGTTAAAAAATACCTTGAAAGCTTTGAGAGTGAATTTAATCTGGTGCCTGTCTCTTCTGCTGACACTGATATGAGGGAATTTCTCTGCCCAAGCTGCCCCATGAGACTCCAACCTCACAGCCCAGCATGAGTCCCTGGTGGGAAGGGCACAGGGGAGGAAGGGCAGTGCGTGATGGACCCAGTGCCAGCAAACCCCTGTCAGAAGTAGAGTGGGAAAGGAAAGCTGTTTGGTCTCTCCTGCAGCCAGGTGGGCTGTCACTGCCAGTCCCAGCCAAAGAAACTGAGCTTGGGAAGGAAACGTCCCTGACCCTTCTGGGGCCACAACAAGCCCCGTCCTGCTGTGCTGCTCAAAAAACAGCCACAAACCCAGGGGTTTATAAATATCCCTGCTAAACCTGTAGACAGGCTCCCTGCTCTAGTGGGGCTATTCCAGGCCTGACACATGATCCACGGGGCTCATCAAGCACCTGGGAGAACGCCCAGATGGACAAATCCAGCACGCTCCCTTCACCCATGCCCTGGCTGTGCTCCTCGCCATCCTGCCCACCCTCCCTGGCCCAGGGGCTGGGGGCTGCTGGCCACAATGCCCTGCACAGCTGTGGCCACACACAGTGTCAGTGGCCAGCAGGGCCATGCAAACCACGCTGGAATGTGGGTGGGGCAAGAGTGACGGCTCCAACCCCTTTCTCTGCAGCTCACTGGTAGCATTGGTGAATCTCAGCCACTGGCAGCAACTGGCCAAGAAGGAGCACTTGCAACCAAAGTGCTTCCAGCAAACCCGGTGTTCCTGGGTGGGATTCTTCTAGGGACAAAAAGAAAAGCTTGGCCAAAATAAAATATGATACCCTGCAGTATTTACTGCACACGCAGCGGTGCATCAGCAGTGCCAGCATGGCCTCTGGTGGGCGGCTTTTATTGCCACTGCTCAGACAGTGCAGGGAGACCCTGTCCTTTAATAAACCCGGAAAACATGCTGGAAGGACATGGAGACACTGTGCAGGCCATGATGCTGTGGGGAACCCCCACAGGAACGGAGCAGGGCTGAGCTACAGTGAGACATGGACGGGTGCATCAAATGGGCAGCAGAAGCAAACAACTCACAGCATCACCAGACACTCCTAATTCTTACTTACCACAGCTTGGCCTCGCATCTCCAGCAATCCCATCAGGGAGCACCACACACTCGGGCACAGGAGCCCTTCTGCCCATGGCTTAATGCAGCCACTCCGGGGTGGGGTGTGCTAATGCCTTAATCACTCACAGCAGCCTGATGGAGACAGGCAGGACCAAAACCCAACGAAAACTCCGGCTGAAGATGAAAAGCTGATTTAATTAGAATGAGATAATGCAATTTCCTAGTTGACCAGAACACCAGAGACAGCCAAGTTGAAGCAAGACCTGGCTGAAGCTTGAGTGAAACTGAAGTCGCAGAATATGCAGTTTCACCAGATCCATGATGCTCTGAGAAACTGTGACAAGCTTGTTTGAAAAGTGTGAAAGAGTCTTGGAGATGTCAAAGGATTTCAGCACCTTCTGGAGGCTGCTGGATATTTCATTCGGAAGATGCTAATTTCATTCTTTCTTGTACTACACAGTAGTAAGTTGCTCGTAGCTTGAGCAGGTTCTTAGTGTTTCTCTCTGTCACAGGGCTAGTGACTGTAATTGTGCCCTTCACAGAGACTGTGAAGTTTAAAATAAATACTTCCCCAGTGCTTTGAGAAGCGCGTGCGGAAGAAAAACATAACAATATACTGTGGTTTTTTTCCACCTGCTGTGGGTGGAAAGGAGCAAATTTGCCTCCCCTCGTTCTGTGACATTCACTTGTCAGGATCACCCAGTAGCTCCAGTCTCTCCTACCTGCTGAGGGCTAATCCAGCCTGCTGAGGCTGCGGGGTGGGAAAAACTAAAACACGTTTACTCATGTCTGTGCTGCTGTAGTGCAACACAACCAGCACCAGCAAAGCAATTTTTACCTCTCTGTTCCCCAGCTTTCCTCTTTAGAAACAAGTGACAGAGAACACTCTCACCCAGCATTCAACTCAACCAGCTATTACCAGAAAGGGAGAGCTGTATTCTGTGAAAAGCTGGACACATGCACCTCACCTGGTGTTCAGATCCTCAGATGGCCAGCAGGACCAGCCAGCAGTGGTACTCCCAAAACCATCTGTAATAGAAGTTTACAAATTTCCACAGGCTGCTGCTGCCTCAGATTCTTCTTACTCCCTGTTCCAGTCCTGCTGCTGCTATGGAGAGCTTTGCATTTCTCACTGCTGGAACCACAGCCCATCCAGCCTAGGGCTACAGGTTCTGCAAATAAGGAGACCATCGCCTTTGGTGCCCTTGGGTTGGTACCAAATTTACCTGCAAATCTTCAGCCAGTTGCGGAAAATCTTAATCTGAAAACTCAAGAGAAAATATACTCTGTGTCCAAATTAGAAAAAAATAATAATAAAGGGGGACGGGGAGGGAAAGGCGTTTCTAAAAGAAAACAAAAAAAACTACATTACCCAGAATTCACGGATATGTGGGAGGAAATGCTGCTTTTTTTTTTGCAAAGGAGGTTTAGCCTTCAACAGCTGCAGTTTAAAAGCGAAATACAGGGGGAGGGATGGCACTGGGCGAAGGAGGGCGGACAGGGCGGCGGGGGGCGCGGGGGGGCCCGGACCCGCAGCCGGTGCCGCTGGGGCCGGCGGAGCCAAGGGGGATGCGGCGGACCCTGCCCGGGCAGCCGGGGCGGCATCGTTCGGGCACGCCCGGGGGCACCGAGGGGCTGCGAGCGAGTTCCTGCAAAGTTTGACCCCCGTTGCCTCTCTGATG